ATTTATGGATCTTTCTCTGAGAAAAAATAGGATATTGGCTAGGATCCACATTGATTTCAAATGTCTTCCATTCATTCATTAACTCACTTAGAGATGAATTCTGTCCCACACGCTTTTGAGAAAAAAAAAAGTTATAGTGATAATCGTTGCTAATCTTTATTATTCAAAACGCCTTATGTAGGAACACATTTAATTTTTACAACAACTGTACACAGTAAGTTCTGTTATCTTTATTTGACAGGCGGGAAAAGCTGAAGATTAGTGAAGTTGTGCCAAAACTCATACATAATATAAGATATGGTGTCTGCCCTCCACGTCCCTAAAATCCAGCACAGGGAACAGAAACGAGCCTAAACAACCACAGCGCAGAGTAGTCTGATGTGAGTATTATACGCAGGGTTCCGGTGACAGCTGGTGCAGGGCTGTGGAGGGAGGATGATCGTCTTCTCTTGAAAATTATTTGGAAGAAAAAAAACACTTGGATTTCACAGTTGTTTCCTGGCGCAGGTCCCCTCCGGGATGGAGTGTGGGACGTTGCAGTAAACCTAGGACTGTCAGAGCCCAAACTGCCTTTTATACCCAGGGAACACTTGAGGCTTCTCTCCTGACAATTTAATGGTATTCCTTCACATTCCTTAGAAGACATGGCATCGTATCCACAATCAGAACATATGTTTATATAAAGTACAAAATGAGCGCCCAACCCAAATGTTCACCATTGATACAGATTGAAAGAATTCATTATCTTTATTTCTTCTCTCTTTCTCTTGTTCTCTCCCTTATTCGTGAGACTCAAATTAACTTTGCAAAACCACAGATGCTCTTTTTATATGCTTTTTTTTTTTTCTTTCGAGAGAACTTTCGTGGTCTTTGTGGCTTATTTTCGTTTCTCCAGCCATCGCCCCTTCAAATCTTATACCAATGCGACTAAACCGCGGAGAGAACTATTCAACAGCGTGACGTAGTATCGACGATGGCTCCCGACGGGTCATCGAAGGTCCGCGTGGGGAGAGAAACCATAGCCTTGTCTCAGGCTGCACCTGGCGCTCAGCCTCCTTCTTGTTGCCTCCTCTGTGACCCCTTCTTGCTAGCACTGTGCAAACAGTTGTTTTGAAGCAGGTTATAAAAATCATTAGAAAATGCAGCTGTGCTGTTCAAAACGGCTCCCCAAGCCTATCTGTGATCAGCCAGCTGCCACCCTACCCTCTTCATTGGCTGTTTGTCTGCCAGTGTTTACAGTATCTGCTGTTCTGTGATGGCAGGTATTGATGGGAGGGTGGGGAAAGCTTGGGTTAATTAAGTTGGTCATGCTAGAGCCATTCCCGGAAGCTCTAACTGGAGTTTCTCGAGTTGTTAACTAAGAGCGAAAGCACCTGGTTTCAGTCTTGGCAACTCTGTCAGCTGCCGAGGATACCGGGAGAGAAGCGGGGATCTAGGTGGCCACAGGCCTCACTCCCACACCGAGTAATCGGCCCTGGAATCACTCAGGGGTGGCGGCATTTATAGTGATTCTTGTCAGAAAGTTGAGGAACGAGGTCCTCTCTCTTTCCTGTCCCCACTTCCAGAGTGTCCGCTAAGTGCCATTCTAGCAGAGATCGCACTGCTCGGTGTCCTCCCGCTTGTGTGCAGGCTCAGACCGGGGAGTTCAGGGACCCCGTGGTGGGAGGTGCCGCTCCGAGAGTGGAATGACTGCCGAGTACAGGAGGAGACGAGAGGAGGACTCGGTGCCCAAATATCTGTGCCGCTGGCAGTAAGGATGGGAGCAGAACTACAGTGAGGCTGGGCTATTGGCATTCACAGAATTCCTTTCAAAATAAATGGCTTGAAAGGTTTGCACAGGTGACAGGACCTCCTTGAAAAGACCATTTAAGCCTCCTTGCTCCTGACCTTGCGGAGCGGGTCCTGTCAGCCATAGCATAGGCCTGGGGTATTGGTTCTCACAATGTATAACTGGAGGCTTCAAATGCAAGTGGGAGCGAAGTGGCCGCTTTATATCTCCTTTCTCCACTGATGCGCCAGCATCTTGACGTAGTGCATCCTGCCGTGTTGTCAGAGGGTGGACACCTCGTGATATCTAAACTTCAGGCATTGTGTGTAGTGTGTCAGCTCCCGTTTGAAGCACATAACTTATATTAACTTGTGAAACCTCATAGCAACCCTGTGAGATAAATACAGTTATCTGTGTTACTTGCTATATGTGACAGTCAAGGGTCTAAGAAATTAAATGAACTTGCCCAAGACCTAGTATGTGGCAGGTAGAGCTGGACTTTTAAACCGAGGAGCTGCAGCTCCAGAGCCCTCACTTCTGCTCACTGTACCATACTGCTTTGAACACCCTTGGGTGTGGGCGTATGTCGGGGGCGGGGTAGCAATCATTCATTTTCCTTTAGAACCACAGTACTAAGGAACAAAAATGAAGGAGTTAATTCTTTGTCGAATCCTAAATATAGAGTAGAAGCTGGAGGGATGTGAAAAATAATAAAAGTATTCTTACACTCAAAGGTTTTAATAACGGAACAAGGCATACAACTGAAAAGCGAATACGCAGCACAAGGTAGAACCAAAGAGGTATTCTGGGAGTTCAGAAAAGGGACAAATTCCTTCTGTCAAAGGTGATCTTTTCAGAGGACCTTGTCACAGACTGGGCTTTAAAAAAGAATGTGTAAGATGTAGGCATATGGCTATAAAAAGGAAGGCTGTTTTGGATAGAGACAGATGAAGGAATAAGCTCTTAGAGCTGTGACTGCCTGAGAAATATTTGGGTGACAGGACACTTACCAGTTTGGCTTGTATGGAAAAATGGAACCTTGGGAACAAATTGAGAAGATAATTGCAAGTGAAAGACCGTGAACTTCAGTTGTTTAAATACTTGGGAGAAAGCAGTAAATACGATGAATTGGAAATCTGGAAAATCTAAATGTATAAGACCTTTTTATTTTTCTTAGTAGTGATTGCTTCGTGCTAATTAAATTTCAGGCGGAGACCCATCAGGAGGCCTATTTGTCAAATAAGACAAATAAGAGAGACAAATAGGACAGACATCGCAAGGGAAGGTTTGTTTGGCCTGATGACCAGTGGATGTGAGAGAGAGAAGGCAAAGATGATAATTTAGCTCTTGGGTGACCAAGAGGATTGTGAAAGTCCCATATCTGTCATCTTCACCTTGACCAATGACTTGTGGTTAGAAAGTCCTAACCTCTTCTTCTCTTTCTTCTGATTACATAATAAGTAATCACTTAAGTAAATGTTCAGTGATAATGAATATCCAACAATATAGAGAGCAAATCGACAGGACCATATTTCTAAAGACTAAAATGCTCAATACTCAGAACCATGTTTGGCACTTCCAAGCCCATTTATACATTCATTCAACCAAACATTTAAGCATCTGCTTGGCACCAGGCTCTATGTCAGACACCAAGGAAGGACACAGTGGTGGACAAGTCAATAGGCCACAACCTCAAGGGGTTTACCAGAGAGTAGCTAAGATATGGAGGCATCCTGGGTGCCCATCAATGGATGGTGGATAAAGGAGAGGTGGTACATGTGTACGATAGAATATTACTCAGCCATAACAAAGAATGAAATCTTGCCAATTGCGGTAACATGGATGGACCCACAAGGTATTGTGCTGAGTGGAGTAAGTTAGACAGAGAAAGACAAATACCATATGATTTTACTTATACATGGAATCTAAAGAACAAAATAAATGCACAGGCCGAACAGAAATAACTCATAGATTCAGAGAACATTTTGATGATTGCCACATTGGAGGGGGGCTGCGGAGATGAGTGGTACAGAGAGAGGATGAAGAGGTACAAATTAGTAGTTACGAAATGGTCACAGATGAAAATATAGCATAAATAATATAGTCAGTAATGTTGTAATGACTATGTATGGTGTTAGGTGGGTACTGGATTTATCGGGGTGATCACTTTGTAGGTTATGTGGATGTCTAATCACTGTGTTGTACCCCTGAAACTATTGTAATGTTTTATGTCAACTATAATTAAAAAATAAAAAAAAATATTTTAAAAAAGAAAGAGAAATCATTAGTTGATTTTAAGATGGTTTAAATGTCATGCTCAGTAAGGTAATCAAATATTCCCACTTGTCTGGGATAGTCTCAATTTCGGTGATAAGTCATACTACTCTCCCAACAGTAGGACACGGAGCTGATGTACAAAGTGAGGGAACATGCAGGCAGGACATTTAATGGATCTTAGGAATGGAGTACTAGTGGACTTTATGAAGGAAATATGTCTCCACTGACACCTGCTGGCTTTAGAGACTATGGGGTTCAGGGAGGACTGGGGGGAAGTCAGCGGTGCAGGAGGTGGGAAGGTGGACAGGCAATATTTACAGATCGAATAAATTAATTAGTGAGCAAATAAAACATTGCGAATGTACAAATTCACAAAATGGTTCAACTCCTAATGAAGCATCTGTATTCATTTGATGCTTAGGTCTAACATTTCCTTCAGGTCTTCAAAGGGAAATGTTATGAACAGTAGAATTTTACCCTATTTGTAAAGTAAGGATATTGGGCTGCATGGTATCTCTGGTCTCCTGTAGCTTTACTTGTACTGAGTAAGACCCCATCCCGAACCGCCTACCGCTGGAGAATGAAATACTCTACAGTCCACTCGATTATCCCCTTTCTCCCAGGGCAGCCACTTATTTTTTTCTTGCTTATTCTGTTTCAGTTGATTTTATTTCTTCAACTCGATAGAAAGCTTCTCAAAGGCGGCGGCCATGTGCATCTCCCGTTCGGCACATTGTGGCTGGTGGTGATTGCGAGATTGATAGGGGAGAGGTAGAGAAATTCTTTCTTTTTCAGAAGGAAGGAGGAGGAAGTCTGATTAAATAACCCTATTACCAAATGCTCTTCCTTATGCAGCTTCCCAAGGCATTTTACTTACGTGACTGCGGATTTATTTTTGTTAATGGTTGGTTTGCGAACTCATTTTTGAAGGGCATCTTGCTTTCTTCCTCTTTAGGACCTTCCGAGTTGTTGGATATGGCAGACAGCGAAACGTGAGTGTTGTCTTTCATTATATTCTGGATTATTTTCTTCAAAACATACCTCGGAAAAGAATGCAGCCTGTAGGGCATAAAATAGGTAGTTTTCATGTCAGTGATAAAAAGTCTACTTTCAGTTGTATTTAAAACTGAGCAAGGCTGATCTTCTAAATCAAAAATTACACGATAAAATTTGGTGGGAAGTAGAGCGATGATTGCATGCATGGAATTGCTATCCATCATTTAGTGCTTCCTACAGGCAAGGTACTTCTGTACTGGGGCATTGTGGACTGCTGAAAAGTCCAAATCCATACTTTTTTTTTTACTCTTTCTTATCTGGGGTTTGTGAGAAAATTAAATTCTAACTCCCTAAGGCATCTTTGTGTGCAATGAAACTTCTTTGCCGAGCCTAGAATAGAACAATGTGTATGATACGATCACTGGACAACTGAGACCATAGTAACTCCAATCATTTCCACGTTCTGAGTTTCAAACGAGGAATCCTGGTACACAAAGGATTCTCTGGAATGATCCTTAAATGAATAGCATTTGTTTTCAACTTTCTTTTTTCCTGAGGCAGCAAAATAGCTACTATCCCCCACACAGGACCAAAAAAGGCTAAACTTCTAACCCTGAAAATCACATAGAACCTACCACCAGAGAACTTGAAAGAAATTTGAAAAGGATGAAGAATGGGCAGAGGTGGAGTGGGATAGGGTGAGAGTGGCTAAGTGGGTATCGGGGAGGCAAAGTAGAAGCGAAGAGAATGGAGGATGGGTGGGAAGGGGTGTAGCCGTGAGTTACTAGGCATGGAAGAAGCTGTCCACTGCTCATAAAGCTTGTCCACTTGCCGCACGGCCTGTTAGCAAGGTTGTCCCTGACCCCAGCTTGCCTTCCCTAAGGTCTGCATTTGATTTTCCATGAAACACTCTGGCATGAAGTGTCTTTTCAATTTTGGACTCACAATGGAACTATATTCCTACGCTGCCTACTAGAGGGGCGGAAATGGCCACTTTCCCTTGCCCACTTCCCGTACTGAGTGGCTGGCCTCGGGCGTGCTGCTCCTGGAGACAGCTCTGGTTCTTGAACTCTCTCAGCGTGTCACTGTGCCTCCCAGGTCCTCTGTGGTGGCCGCTGCCCTTCCGCCTGCCATTGGCATGGAATCCGGTAGATAGGGCAGGGTGGGTGTTGCCTGGCTCCTTGAAATTGAGTCCTCAAGAGATAGTCCTCCGAGGGCAAGATGGCAGCCCCCATGCACTGTGTGATGAGTCTAAAGGGCCAGTGGTTCTCCATCATTGTCCCCTCTGTGCTTCAGCTAGTGTCCCTCACTCTCTGCCCAAACGTATCCACAGAGAGAGTTGCTTCACAGTGTGCAGACATCTGTACACATTGGTCTATTTAATAGTGCCACTGAGTTTTACCTAAATCAAACATTGGTAGTTTAAAACAAAACCACTCAGCCTAATTCACTAACACAGTTTTCAAAAGAGCCTGGAGTCAGATATTATGGTTAGTTGACAACTAACTTAAGACATTTCTGGGCCCCCTCCACTACCTCCCTCGAATGGGC